ATTTTTCCTGTTTCTCAATTCTTTGCTTAGCTTTTGGAAGGCACCTTTGCTTTCCAATGCGCCTTCGAATTTCGGTGTCGTATTTTCAGTTAAAACAATTCGTAGATATTTAAAATTTTGTACTTGTTTGATTTTAGTGTCTGCAATTTCTAGTTCGTATCTTTGGCTGTTCCTTTGGTTGACAACCATATATTATGTCTTCTTACAATTAGTGATTAGTCCTTTCTTCTCACTTTCCTTTATTAATTGTTGTAGGTGTTCCTGTAGTTTTCTCCTTTTTCTATTTTCTCCATAACTACTGTAGAAAACAAAACATTAATGATTTAACCAGATCTACGTTTGATATATCGATGACATATATCATACTATTTATTAGGCTATGAACTTAATATATGTATGCATAAAATACTTTTTGTGTTATAGGATAAAATTATTACTATACCTATAAGACATCGCTGATACTGGTTGCTCATATATTCCTGTAATCCTGAAATCAATAATTGTTTTCTGTATGTATTAAACATACAAAACGATGTTCTTGATGTATCAAGACTTTTACTTTATATGTATCATGTGTTTAGGGCACCTCGGTGTGGTGTAATGTTTAGCAAGCTTGTCTCGCTAAAACAGTTACGACTGAATAGTGAGTTCGATCCTTACTAGGTGCCCCATACTTTCGGCCTTGTGCCACATCTAAACTACGCTTAAAAATCACTTTGGGCACCTCGAGGCGGTGTAATGGTTAGCAAGCTTGTCTCGCTAAAACAGTTACGACTGAGTAGTGAGTTCGATTCTCACTGGGTGTCCCATACTTTCGGCCTTGTGCCACATCTTAGCTACGGTTGGAAAATCACTATATGTATCAAGTGTTTTATATACATTATACAAATTCAACTATGTATATGTATGCTGGAAAAAAAAAAGACGAAATAAGGCCCGGGAAAAAGAAACTCCTTACTACGCGTACAGCCGCAAACCAACAGACTTATCGCGGTTGATCTTGGCTCCTGTCACCGTCTCTTACACTATGATGTCTTTATCGACTTTGTCAATGTCGGCTCTGCTCGACACAAGAACCGAAACGTCATCTACATAGGTGGCATACATGGCCGAGGCAGTAGCACCAGATATTAGATTCCGCGTAGAATCGGATTCACCTTTAACTTGCGCAGGAAAGAGCCCAACACAAGAATGTAAAGCAAAAGCGAAATCGGACAACCTTGACAAATCTACTGAGACAACACGAAAGGCTCTGATCTATATAAACTTATACGCCCAGGCTACGGGTCATTTTGATCTCAGAAGCTAAAAGCGCATGTCAAAAAAAAAAAAAAAACAATAAATAAATAAAATAAAAATAAAAGTAAAATAAAATAAATAAATAAAAACAGTTAAATGGACAGATCAAGCGAGTTTAAAGCATAACTACATTAATCGAAAGCGCCTTTTGATGATATAAATCAAGAACTCAGGGCGCTGAGATTCAACCTGTATAGCTGGAAGAGTGATGGATCTGACTGATTAAAATATAGGAAAGATATTTACGAGGAAGTAAAAATCTTTAAAGAAAACAGACGTTATCACGGAAAGGCGAAAAGTGACGCAAGAAAGAGACTGCCAATGGATGAAGACAATACAATTTAACGTACGATATTTTTAGCCATATCTGTTTCTCTCAAACAGGATTGACCAGCCACATACATCGCCATAATACTTAGGCCAACTGGCTACGCACAACGAATTACTCAAGATTTATCCTGCCTAATGTAGAAATAGGTCAGTATTAGCTAGACATGTGAAACCTTACTATATCCTCATTCGATCTAATAATCATCATACTTATTATAAAACCCAGGTTGTGTGTGTGTGTGTGTGTGCGTGTGTGTGTGTGTGTGTGTCTGTTTCGTTTATATATTGGATCGGATTTCCTACATTTTTCAACCGATTTCAACAAAACTTCACAGGACTACGTAAAATTACCTTGGGGTTGTTTCTGACAGCGCCAAAAATTGGAAAAACACAATTGTTTTTGCACGAAATCAATTTGAAAACACGATTAAGAGGCATCGCTGTCGAGAAGGAAAGGGGGGCAACTCATATCAAGTTATACTTATTATAAAACCCAGTTTGTTTGTGAGTGTGTGTCTGTGTTCGTTTATATATGGGATCGGATTTCCTACATTTTTCAACCTATTTCAACAAAACTTCACTTTTTTTTGGGAGGTAGTGTTTCTTATTGTCATGCACACATTTTTTCTTTATTTTTACATTCAGAATGCTTTAAAAATTCCATTTACAAGACAATTGTTTATAATAATATTCTTTTCAATCGGTAGACTCATAATATTGAAAACAATTCTTTTGTTTGAGTTTGGGTTTGACCAATTCGCAAAAAAACAAACAAACAAAAAAAAAAAAACAAACAAAAAAAAACTAATTAAGACATGCGTGTCCGTCAACCTTAAACAATAATCTTTGTCAATTTTATTTTTCAGTCTTTATGATGGTCGATACTTGATCTATCTCTTACTGTTACATCCCCGGGCAACGCCGGGCTCTACTGCTAGTGTATAATAAAAAAGTCTCTTTGTGCCATCTTTGCGGAATAAAAAGTCCATTGCAGGATTTACATTTTAGATCACACAATTTATAGGTCGCTTGCATATATTTTACTGATTTTGTTTATTCAATGTTTTATCTTAGAATATATAAAGTCATGCTGATATTTATATTGTTGCATATAATTCAGTTTCTATATAGCGATATATTTTGTATATAATTGTAGTCAAACATATGCATTTTAGTGACGCATACGAACAGTTTTGTGCAAATTGAGTGTAACAGTATAAAATCTCAATGCGGAACTTATCTTCAATTATATGTCAATGAGCGAGATTTAGGTATACTTGATTAACGATTCGACAATCATCAAATTTAGAGGCAGATAGAAATACAACAGAGAGACTGGTAGATAGATAGTTATGAACAGATATAAGATAGATAGATAGATAGATAGATAGATAGATAGATAGATATGAACAGACTAAGATAGATAGATATGAACAGACTAAGATAGATAGATAGATAGATAGATATGAACAGACTAAGATATGAACAGACTAAGATAGATAGATAGATAGATAGATATGAAAAGACTAAGATAAATAAGAAAAGACTTAGATGGAACTGAGTATGGGCGTTTATTAATGAAAAAATATGAATTGCAATGAGTGACACTTGGCCGATTATCTCTTTACGATTCATGACTGACTGAGCGGAAGATTTCCCGCGTTAAGCTGCTGTTTCTCTCTGGGATAAATTGGTTGCCAACCAAGACTACAGGGCCCAGTTTGACCAGCTATCCATTGCAATTTTTGGGTCGGTGAGAGAAGTGATAGATTTATACCTTCTCCAAGGATATTTGCACGTAAATTAATGCAACGAACCCGACTGGAATTCGAACTTGGCTATCAGATTTATACTTTATATTCATTACTCCACGACGCATATCACAGGCGTTTATTAGAAAAAAATATTGGTCAATGCCGATTAGGTTACAAATAAACACCGAAATACATTCATAAATTGGAGATATGGAGTCTGAACCTTGAAATAGTGCTATCGATGAAAGCGAAACCTATAATAGAATTTGAATCTCCTTAGACATTGATGGAGAGTATGACCAAGCAGGAAACAGACGTCGCGATAGACACGTTCTCTGACACATACCCCCTTCGACTTCGCTGTATCAGCACAGCCTGAGCCTGGCCAAAATGGACGGACTTAGCTGGTTATTTTTACGAACAGCTAAAATCAGCCACTCGATTTTGCAATCGCGTGTGTTGTGTGGTGCTTGGCAGCTGGTAAATCTGGTTTCTTCTTTAACCAAATCCACCAACAATTTGGCTCAGCTTCAAGTTAGCCGTTTTACTACCACAAACCATTCTTAAAAATCTTTTTCTATCGTTTTCTTTTTTGTTTTAAAGAAGAAAGACTAGAAGAGAGAAAGCAAACGCCGTATCAAAATGTTGATTTTTAAATTGCTTGGCTACCGGCAAAAAAAAATAAAAACAAAAAAAAAAAAAAAAAACGACTGTGCAAATAAAAGTGCCACTCACAACCAGTGAAAGTGTATTCTTCGTTAAAATTTCTTCAGAATTTTCAGATTCTCTGGAGAAAAAAGATTTAAAACCATTGCCCGTTAAAATTTTAACACTTTCTAAATGAAAGCTATAAAACAAAAATAAACCTGTCAGGTCAATATGCTCTTGTGGCAAAGATTTCTAGAATGTTGAAAGAAAATAAAAAAAATTAAAACTTTGTTTTCTCTTTTTAACTTTATACTATATCACAACACACGATCCAGTGCCATGTAAATCAAAATATTCTTAGACACCAAATGTACTGTAGCTATAACCACAGTGGATGTGGGTAGACCAAAATAGCCTAACGGTGGTCATCTCTCTTCAGGTTAGTTTTGAATTCTCTGTTTCCTTTCTGAAACAGGTTGCTCTGCCAAGATAAACGAGCTCAACCAGTCTTTGTATTTACTAGGTTTTGAATTCAGAGTTTTAATTCTCATACAATGGGTACCGTACCAAGGAAAAATAGCTCAATCCGACCTTCAAGGGTACTTGAATACTGACTTTTCATTCTCGTACAGTGAATATCGTACGGTGGTAAGTAGTACTATCCGACCTTTTATTGTCTTGAATTTTGAGCTTTCCTTCTCGTCGACGCGATTTTTTTAAATCATTCCATCTTAAGTGTTATATAGGAATAAAATAGCTTCCGACACTGGATTTTGAACACGGATCGCCAGAGAGAAAACACAGTTGATCCCATTATTGAATTAATTGGCTTACGTGACCATGGGGGAGACGCATAAGTAGGAATTAGCGTGGCGTCTAATTGATCACCATTTCTATTCTAGACATTAGAGAAGTGAAAGGACAATAAAAAAAACAAAAACAGGGCTTATACGGAAAATGGGATGGCCGTTGCACTTAAAAGTTTGAAGATCGGAGGTGGCAGGGAAGCAAGAAACCGGAAGTGGGTTCAATCCACGTGAGAAGAAACTATTAGAATAGAACTTACGGTTATATGTAGCCTTTCACCGACAAAAGAAAAAGAGCCTAGTCGGCGCTGCTGTTTAAGCCCTAGGTGAAGGGAATAGATTCATGCCTTTTCAAAGTACCTTAGTGAGAATGAAACAGAGTCAAAACTTCAATTTTCTTAGTCCATTCCAATTTTCGCGACTATAAACTTTGTCTTTCGCGCACATTCCACTTCCGAATCATAATAAATCATACATATTAAAATAAACTAGAAAGACCCTTGATTATTTCACGGTTTTCCTATTTTAATTTTCTGACGTATCTTACTTCCGCAGTTCTTTCTTTTCATGACGTAGGCGATCATGTGTCTCCACCTCCCTTGAAGCTCTTAACTTCCTCTCCAAGACCACGTTCTGTCATTCACTTGCTTAAGTCCGCCAGGCATGTCACGCGATGTTTTCTCTTGTTTTTATTTCCCTCTATTCGACCCTTGAGTGTCAGATTCTCCAGTCCCTCTTTCCTCATTATGTGTCCCAGAAACTTCAGTTGCCTCGTCTTGATATTAAGTATAAGCCTCCTCCTTGTTTGCAGCCTCTTCAAGACCTCATCGTTGCTCAAACGCTCAGTCCATGATATCCTTAGCATCCTTCTGTAGGACCACATCTCTGTCGCCTGGAGTCTCTTCTTCATCTTTGAGAAAATTGTCCAACTTTCGCTGTCGTAAAGAAGGACAGATGTCGCGTAACAGTTCAGTTATTCTTTTCTTTGTTAGGAAAGAAATCCTTCTATCTTGCAGTACTCTGCCCAGATTTGGGAATATGTCCTTGGCCATCCCAATACGTCTACGGATCTCTGTGTCGCACTTACCGTCCTCTGTCAAGATGCTTCCCAGATATTTAAACTTTCGCGTCTGCTTGATTCTAGTGTTCCCGACCTTCAAATCGCATTTCGGGATCATCCTCTAACATGGCGTGTTCTACGACAATAAAATATCCGTTGAGTTTAGCAATTTTAAGAAGATATTGCAATAGCAATCATAAATATGAATGCTGGTCGTTATTTCAAGAAACAGGCACCAGTGTAACATCTTCGCAAAGAGACAGCTGGAATTTCTAGGGAACGCAACAAGGAAGAAGGATTTAGAAAATCTGACATTCACATGACATATATAAGGAAAGAGGAAGACAGGAATATTGTACATAACTTACCTAACGGATTTGCGTAAATGGTTGGCAGAATAGCCAGAAATCAAAGAATAATAATGATAAGAAGAAAGCCTTTTTAACGTTCACCCTTCATCCCTGTTCTAGCATCTATTCACACACATGTATTAAGTACTTTAGTCGCTGTTACACTCTGGTCTTCTTGCTTTCTATGTCTTTGTGTTAAAATATCTAAGACGTTCATTCCAATTATATGTTACAAAAGTTTTCTGTATGATGTTTTTAGTTTCTATTTTTAGTAAAACTTCGTCTTTTCTCATATGCTAATATCTATTGTCGTCATATCATTAGTCAGTCGACGCTCCTCTTAATCGCTTGAAGAGTTTTCCTGATCAGTAAAGCGATTATCCAACAATCACTCCCATTTCTCTTTTCTTCCCAGGAGATGCCCAAATGATAGAGAACCATAAGGAAAACGGCGATTAACCAACTTAACGATGTTAATTATTTACATAGATCAAAGACACACTGCCCGGTAGATAAAGACGTTGGATGAATCCAGTGACTTGACCCAAAGAGTTGTGATTTCAATACCTGGCTACGGCAGGGGTGAACAAAAACTTTGAGAGCCGAGTTAAAGGGAGATAACTGAGACACCCGGAAGAGGCATGACACGTGGAACTAGAACTATCTACCCCGGCGAACGAAAGCCTTTCGAAAGTTCGCTCATCTGAAGAAGGCCGGAGAGTACAACGGCCGAAACGTCGTGAATATGGCAATAAAGATGAGAACAGGAGTATGAACAATGAAAATAATGTAAATAATTACCTCATCTCAGAAATATAGACAGATATTAGCTATATTAAGTAAATAGGTGGTACGAGAAGGACAAAAAGTGATGTTAAAGGGTCAGTGATTTCTTATAGCAGCAGGGGCTGGGGTTAAGAGCAAGATAACCCTCACTCGGAATGAATTTGGCATGTAATAAAAAGGTGTGATTTTGCTTCTCACTGAGCATCCTTCATTTGTGGCCTTGGGTCAAACTAAACTAAGCTAAGCTTAGTAATTAATAGATCGGTTAAATTTCAGCTGGTTGATTGTTTTTATATAATTTTTTTTTCTCTGGCTGCAGCAATGATTAAAATACTCCAATATCAGTTTCCTCTACAGGGTGCCCACCGAACGAACTGTGTCATTTACTGCAATTTCTGTGCGAAAGCTTCGACGTCTACTACTGCGCGCTGTTTTCAAATAACAAAGAATAGAAGGTGAAGTCAAATTGCCTGTGAGAATAGTCAACGCCTCCGCCATTTTAGAAAAAAAATATCCGTTGTTTAACTATGCACTTGTTTTCCTGATGAAAGTGCACACTATTAGGTCTTTACTTTCCGTTGAAATACGTGACTATCAGAGTGAGATTACCATCAACCTCGTCTTAGGAGTTCAGTTCTATCTCCATTGAGTAATTGTGAAGGCTACGAGTTAGACGAATCAAGGCTTATAAAATAATGATTCTTCTCATAGAATGTGATCCTAGCATTTGCATATTTGTACATAAATAATAACCATAGATTCGATGATGTGAAAAGACGATTATTCGGTTAATACGAAAGAGTTATTGTAGATGTTCTAATTATGTCATCTTATCATCTGCGAAATTAAAAGTATTTTCAACAAGAAAGGAAGGTAAAAGACCAAAAAGATGGAAATGAAAAAAGAAAGAGATGTGAAAGATGATGAAAATGGAAACGAAAGAAAAAGAGAAGTAAAATAATAAGAAAATAGAAACGAAAGAAAAAATAGAGGTAAAAGGGAAAGATGGTAACGAAAGAAGAAGGAGAGGTAAAAGAAGAAGAAGAAGTAGAGATGTAAAGGAAAAAATAAATGGAAACGAAAGAAGAAAAAGAGGTAAAAGAAGATGAAACTGGAAACGATAGAGAAAAAAAGGATACAGTGACAAAAGGAGAAAGAGTGGTAAAAGAAGAAGGTGGAATCGAAAGAGAGGCAAAAAAGAAAATGTAAATGGAGGAAGAAAGAGAGAGAAAATAATAACAGAACGAAGATGACAACGAAAACAGAAAGAGGTAAAAGAAGAAAAAAAATGGAAATTAAAGATGAAAGGGAGGTAAAAGAGAAAGAGGAAGAAGAAGAAGAAGAGATGTAAAGGAAAAAGAAAATGGAAAAGAATAAAGAAAGAGAGATAAAAGAAGATAAAGATGGAAGCGACAGAAGAAAGAAAGCTAAAAGAAAAAGGAGACGAAAGGAAAAAGAGAGTTAAAAGAAAAAAGGAACGAAAGGAGAAAGAGAGAGAAGAGGAAAACAAAAAGAAAATGCAAACGAATGAAGAGATGGGAAAGAGCATCGAATTGCAAAATTATGAACATCTTTGTAGAAACGGCGTGCGTTATACGATTCCAGTATACCGTTATATATATATATATATAATAAATATTAATAACATTTACCGGCCTGAATATCCTAGAAAGTTTCATAGAAAATTTCGTCCTCCGACTGGAATCGAACCTGTATCCTATACGGAACCGTCATATAGCCTGACGTGCCTTAACCGATTGAGCCACAGAGGATCGCTCGGCTAGCAAGACCGATTTTACTGCTTTTAAACTACAATCTTTCATGAATCTCTCACGTACATTCATATCTGCTCAATGCGTATCCAAATGTAAACAAATGACGTCACACATTATGAAATGGACAAATTTTTATGTTTATACATTCTTTTTATAAACATATAAACATATCACTGCCTTAAACTGTGACAAAGACAACAAAGATGCATAGGAAGGGGTTCCCGGTACTCTCTCTCTCTCTCTGGCCTCTGTATCTCCAGTTGCCTTGATCTATCCACTACCCTTCTCCTCATCCTTTCTTCTATCACTCCTATCTGATCTTGCTCCAAATTTTCTGTAACCCCTTGCGTCCTAGTGGCTTCCCGCCTTGCTTGGGGTGAAACGCTTAAAGAAAAAAAAGATACTGATGGAAATCCTTGAATAACCCAAATAAATTTCCTACATTTTTCCTATATGCCTTAAAAAAAACTTTATACCTTTACGAAATTTAAAAAAAACGTGTTGACTTTATTTTTTTTGTTTTATTTTATCAGCCGCCTTTAAAAGTTATACAAAAAAAATGTGATATAAGTTTTCAAATATTGCCAAAAATCTATTTTCTTCAAAAAGGGTTAAAGTTTTAGTTTGTTAGTACCAGTTGCCGTAGAAATAACTGCCACAGGCTAAATGAAGACACCATTGCTTCTAATCTCTTACTAATCATTATGTGGGAGTTATTTCTGCCACACCTTGTATTTCTCTATCATCATTTTATGAATATTCAGTTCTTTTTGTTTATTTATTTATTTTTCCTCTCTTAGATATTGACTTACAGCCACATCACATTGAAACACTGGTAAAATCACCGAAGTTAAGCAATGTCGAGCCTGTCAGTGTTTAGATGGATGACTAGTTGAGAATATTAGGTGCTGTAATTTTGGATGTACAGTGGTGTAATGGATAATGGCTCGGGATTTTTAATCAGAGAGAGCCGAGTTCTTATCTGTTGGGTTTGTTAAATTTACTTACTATTGTGAGACCGGAACTACATACACAATAGACTCTTCCAGGTCTATATTAAGTAGGCGACACAACACTCTAGAACGACTACTAGTGTTGGACACTAACTTATAGTAAGCTCCGCTTACACTATCTCTGTAACCTGTTGTTAATATATCTTTCTTACATCTAATCCGTGTTCCGTGTTTTACTTCTGTGGTCCCAACTTTGGCCCCACATTAGTGGCTACGAGAATTCTAGAAACGCACTCACGGCGAAACCTAAATACCTTACCAGTCCGACATCTGTGTCGACGAAGAATTCGAGAAACGCATTCACGTCGAAAAACAGCAATACTTTGTCAGTCCCACAACAGTGGCGACAGAAAGATTCGAGTATTTCGTTCTCACCATATCAATAGCGACAGAGTACTCGAAAAATGCACAAACTCCACGCGTTCCCACAGCAGTGTTGAACGAGAAATTAAGCTGGTATTACTACATTAGCGATTTAAAAGCTAAACACTCAGCGTCTACATATATTCCAATACCAAACATCAGTGACGAGCAGTGTTTCGACATCTAAGGAATATTAAAGTCTGTCTAAAACTTTTTTTTTATGTAACTGAGTTGAACTCGGGCATAAAATTATTCCCCCTCAAATTCACTGAGGTGATTTTTCTCTTTTTATAACTCTAAAAAAAAAAAAAAATACATAAGTGTGGTGAAAATTGATTCAATTACGTTAAAATTAACGGAACCACGGGAAAAAATCTAAAAACATAATTGGTTTAGTTTAACTAATTGTCTGTCCATATTTTTTTTTCTGTAAAAGAAAAAAAAAGGAACAAAAATCTATCAAGATTTTTTTTGTGTACCTCCTCTTAGTACACGTGTTTCAAAAAAAAGCGCTGTCATTTTTAAATATGGAAGATTTGCAAAAAGTAGTTGCCCAAATGTTAAAACTAAATTTGGATCAGCAACAAAAATCAGAAGAAAGACAACAACAACTATTTTTGGAATTACATAAACAACAAACAAATGGAATTCCAACAAATTACGCTTCAGAATGCTGAACTACAACAGAAACAATTACTCGTAAATGCATTAAAAGGTTCAAACTCTGAAAAAGATACAATATTCTCCCAGAGTATAATCTACAATTCAATGGAAACCTTTGATTACGTACCAGAGGAAGACAAAACGTTCCAGGCATTTTACAGGCGCTACGAAGATATTTTCAACGTAGACTGTGAACAATGGTCCAGTAAAAAAAAGGTACGTCTTCTATTGAGAAAACTGGGAACTACAGAACATAGTAGGTTCGTAGACTTCATACTACTCAAGAAAACGACTGACTTGGATTTTTCAGAGACTATTAAGCTCCTATCGGAACTATTCGGGCCTAACACAACCTTGTTCCACAAACGTTGGAAATGCCTGAACACAGTCAAAGACAACCAGCAAGATTTTCTAACGTTTGCAGCATCGGTAAACAAGCTCTGTAATGATTTTAAACTAGCCGAACTGATTGCCGATAGATTTCAAGTGCTTAATTTTCGCACAAGGTCTAATATCAGCAGAAGACGCCGAAGTCAGACGACGGCTACTGACCAAGCTTGAGAACGAACAAGGATTGACACTCCAAAAACTGGCAGAGGACTGTCAAAGAGTGATATCTGTAAAGCGTGACTCAAACACTATCGAGGAATCAGGTGTGACTCAGATTAATAAAATCAGAAGTAAGTCTACCTCCTATTCCCCTCAAAAAGACAAAAGGCAAATCTCATGTCCTAAATTCCGCAGTAACTAAAACCCAAATAGGTTAAAGAAACTGCCCGGACCATTGTGGTAAATGGCATTGGATGAAATTATGTCCAGTTAAGAACAAAAATATTGCAAAAATTGCAATAAAAGTGGGCATACTTTAACTTCGTGCTGGTACGCCAACAGAACGAGAAAACCCAAAAATAAAATTAGGCAAGCTCAATCTGACAATATTGTCGATAGGAATTTAAGAAAATATGTAACTGTGGATATTTTCCATAAGTCCATTAAATTCCAGTTTGACTCGGGTTCCGATCTTTCAACCATTAACTGGCGTACTTGGCGAAAATTGAACAAGCCGACCTTATTAAAAACGGATAAAACAGCAAAATCCGTTATTGGCGAAAAGATTAACATTTTAGGTGAGGTAATACTTACAGTAACACTAAATGGAGTTACCAAAAAACTCAAAGCCTACGTATTGAAAACTTCAGTTAACTTATTTGGAACAGATTGGATAGAAATTTCAATCTTTGGGATTGCCCAATGAGTAAATTTTGTCGCAAGATACAAAGTACAACGTCCAATTTGGTAAATCTAAAAAGGGAACTTAAACAACAATTTCCCCGGGTTTTTTCTGGCGGCCTTGGGAAATTTACTAAAATGAAAGCTAAGTTCAAGGTGAAGGACGGTGCACAACCGGTATTCAAAAAGAAACGGAATGTCCCTTTCGCTGCTCTAGAGCAAATCAACAAAGAGTTAGATAGACTCGAACAAGCAGGTATTCTGTCAAAAACAGATTTCAGCGAGTGGGAAGCACCTACGGTCTACGTAAAAAAAGTCCAATCAAATACGAGTATGCACAGATTTTTCCACAGGGTTAAACGATGTCTTGCAAGATCACCACTATCCTCTCCCAAGCCCTGAAGAAATTTTCAATAAACAATGGTGGAAATTTTTTTTCTAAAATCGACCTCTCGGACGCATACCTTCAGATAGAGGTGGAAGAAGAAAGTTCCAAATTACTCTGCATAAACACCCATAGAGGGTTGTACAAATGCAACAGAGTGGCTTTTGGAGTAAAGGTTGCGCCTGCAATTTTCCAGCAGGTCATGGACGCCATGCTGGGCGACCTTGACTACGCAACAGCCTATTTGGATGATATACTGGTTACCAGTAAAACTATGGCAGAGCACCGGAACCATATAATAAACGTATTCGAAAAGATACAAGAATATGGATTTAAGGTTAAGGAGGAAAAGTGTGACTTTTTCTTACCAGAGATTAAATACTTAGGTCACATTATAAATAAAGACGGTCATCGGCCGGATCCAGAAAGAGCCAACGCGATCAGAAACATGCCGGCCCTTGATAACGTTCAAGCGTTACAAAGCTTCTTCGGCCTAGCTAATTTTTACTAAGGGTTCATTAAGAACATGCAGAATTTGAGAGGGCCTCACAAACACCTTTTAAAAAGGGACAAACCATGGTCATGGACCCCGGAATACCAAGATGCATTCGAGAAGATCAATAAAACTCTTACTTCGGACCTCTCCCTCACCCACTACGACCCTAGTCTCGACATCATAGTCGCAAGTGATGCAAGCTCGTACGGCATTTTGCTTGCATTTTACATAAACTGCCAGATGGTTCGCGAAAAGCTGTGGCTCACGCATCAAGATCTCTAGTTCGATCTCGACATGCCCCAAGTCTCTCCTGAAGTGCGACGCTCAGGAAGGAAAAGGAAATTTACTCAACCGCTCGACGTAAATCTCAAGAGGAAAAAGTATTAACAGTTTTATTTTTTTCTCTCCTTTTCAAAAAGAAAACACTTGGAATGGGGGTATTGTGAGACCGGAACTACCTACACAATAGACTCTTCCACGTCTATATTAAGTAGGTGACACAACATTCTAGACAGTGACAGACAGTGACAGAGAGAGACAGTGAGAGTCTAGTAAGACTATCAGTGTTGGACACTAACATATAGTAAGCTCCGCTTACACTATCTCTGTAACCTGTTGTTAATA